CTTTCTACTGCATTTACTTTCTTAATTACGACAATCTGATTTCGTTCCCCCTCCTCGAAGTCAATTAGTATTGAGTCAATTAGTATTGGTTTTTTGTGCTCGCTTCAGAGGTTTAATTTTCTTTTTTTTTAGAATTTTCTTTTCTGTGCACTTTGACGTCTTTTGACATTTATTTTTTTTGCACCAACCTTGCGGACGTTACATAATAATTAGGGATAAATAGTAACGCAATGAAGTCAGCAGTCTCATCCCGAATGAATCGGAACTACTTTTCTATGAAGAATATGCGGCTTTATGCTACGACTGTTGTCCACGCATTCCTTCGAAACCACCCCAGTTGGGTTTCAATTCTCAATGTTGTTTTTTTGCACATTTTCGCGCTGATTCCCGTTCGCCTCACATTTTGGCGCTCGTGGCAATGTTAGTTTACACATCGTCATCGCCTCTATTATTTGTCTCCTTCATCCAAACTTTGCCATTTTTTTGAGAACCGAGTTGATCTATTCTCCCATAACAGATTTGATTCTCCCGTCCCAACCTTTCATCAATCGCACTTCCACTCTGATTCGACAATGGGAGGGGTTGAGTTTCGCCATGGACAAGATCGTGGCCTGTGCCTACTCTGGCAACGTACTCAGCTCCAGGACCGTTGCCGTTACCACCTTCACACCATTAATATCAGTAGAGGAGCGAAAGGCAGGCCGGCGCATTCTCCTCGCTCATCTCCACGACTGCTTCGCTAACGCTGACGCTTGTCTCCCCGCTGATCCTGGGATGAGACAGTACCACCTCTCCATCCTCCACACTCTAGTCATTAGTTGTACGGAGGAGAGCTCGGAGTTTTGTCTTCATCTACTAATGCAGGTGTGTTTTAACTTGTTTCATCCCGGAGTCAGGGCTTTGTTCTATTAGCGCTCACCGGATTACTGTTTTGGCATTATTATCATCTTATTTATACTAACCAACGACTGAGATTTGTCAAAAGATGGCGGTGAAGTCTTAATGAACGTATTCTTTTGTGCCTTTTTAAACTGGAATAGAGTTTTAAAACCTGTGCTCCTGGATGAAATCGATAAATGGCAGTGATCTTACAGTCCGAAAAAAAAAAACGGAAGTCGCTATTTAAGTTTTGCACTATATCGTTTACTCCACTAGAGGATTGTGGGTTTGAAACAGTTAAATAATTGAAGGTACTTTTTAACAAGCAAATCAGTTGCTTCAGAAGGGTTTTGTGATTAAAGTGCTATTCAGACGAAGTTTGATCCTGAGCATTCACTGCAGAGGAGACCTTATTTCTTTCCCCAAAACGTCTCCCTTGCTATTTTAGTGCTACAGCTCCTCGTCTTTTTGACCACTAGCTAAGGTGAGGTATTCACAGCCCGCTGAGTGAAGATTTAGCACTTATTTGCCACTTGTGGGGAATAGCGTTGCAAGTTGTTCCCTGCAATGCTCGAGCTACTTCGTAAGTCACCACTACATGAGTGGACCTGGACACAGTTCTCTTATGCACCTGGAAGTGCTAAGGTGCTAGGACCACAAATGGCATGGACGGGGCTTCATGTTGTAAATGAATTGAGTATTGTACACATCTGCCTTTTCGTTTAGTTGTGCTGATGTATTTTCAAAGTTCATAGAATCGTGTACTAGCTTAATTTCCCAAACGATCCAATGTTCAGTTCAATGTGTCTACTTGCTCTGATATTCAGTCTTTGTGGTGATATTTAGGTTAGTGTTGCTGGTCTTGATTGTGTCCAAAAGGTATCAGCAATACAATTTGGTTGTATATAAAATCGACTTGCTAGACCCGTTAGTTTCTCTAGAAACATACAAAAGTAATTGCTGGGAGTGATGCTCCATATGACAGAAAAGTTAAGCCTTATTTGTCTTGATTCATTGTGTAGAAAGGGAACTCTTATCAGATAATTAAGGACATTTAATTTTTGCATTTTTCTTCATAGGACTTTGCTACTCTACGCTACAATCCCTACGCGTTGGCCACCGGAAAAACCGTCGCTGTTACTGACCCGAAGATTTCCAAGTACCTCAATGTTCGCTGTCAAAGTGTGCGTGATCTACACATGTACGTCGGAGTCAATGTCTTCCGTCTTGTCCGCGCCCAGACCTCCTCTATGCTGGTTCGTTTAGCTTTTAAAATAAACACTTATTTCCTAATTATTGTTAAATATAAAACTGCTTGAGCAGCCGTGTCTCTAATACTTTACTTGCATGTCTAGATTAAATTGGCTTCCAGTTCTACCCCTTGCAGTTAGTCACAAATCTTATTGGTGAAAGGCGAACTTACCTACCGTATGTTAGATTAATCTTTTTGCATTGTGTAGTAGCTTATCTACTACTGTTTGTCTATGGACTGTAATTGTAGCAGTTCGAAGGTCTAAATTTTCTCTAACCAAAAACGGCAGCCTTTGCGCCGTAGCAACTGAACTCATTTGAAAACACTGAAATAACCACAGATAATCTTCTCCAGGGTTAGATGCAGTTACGTATTTGGTGTGTGGAATGACTAGAACTTGTTATCATAAATGGTAGAGACCCACGCCACTAGTGCGAAAGTTGGGTATTGGAACGCTTTAGTCTCCCATGCTCAAAATGTGTCTGAGTACTATTTAAACGAGCATAAATATTAAGGGAAATGGCAGCTTGTACATCTGCAGTGTACTTGTTAATTGTTCTTAGTGTCTAATCTGCATTGGGCAGTTGATGAGTGCCACAAATTTTCAACTGCCTCGTGGTTGAGCTTTGTTTATTACCACCAAAAAGTCTGCCGTCTATGTGTGAGTGTCTTCTCTCTTCAAAGCGTTTATCAGCCGCTTGTAATTATCACCTTTCCCCCTGATCGCTTGATGAAGTTTTATTAACACAAATTGATCCAGTTGAAAACTGGATCAATTTTGGAGTTTTGAATGCTTTACCCTCTTCCATTGCTCTATTCGCCATGCTGCAAGGATTTATCTTTGACCTCAGCTTTGGATACGCGATAAAATGCCAAAATGTTCAAAATTTTTCTTGATCCTCATTTGTCCAGTTGCTATGGAGGACACCATCCTTCTACTTATCAGGATTCAACTTTCACTGATTTTTTTATTTTCTCCATCTCGTCGACAAAACTGGCACTGGTCAAGGATTAAACAGAGTTTAAAACTGTTTTAGTTCTCTATTTCTAGCCTTACTTCGATTCCTTTTGCTCTGAGCTCAACAACATTTGGACGAATGGGTATGGAGGCCTTGGAGAGCGATGTCTTCTATTGGAAGTCGTCATATACCTAGCGTAAATCTGTCTCCATCCTATACCTGTCTTTTGTCATTTGGCCAGCCTTCCTAATTGCCCTTCGTTTGCCATTTGCAGATTGCGCCTTCCTTGCACATTCGCGGAACAGCGGGATAAACTGTCGATCATACTCGCTGGCGTTCTTACAGAATGGAACAACCCTAAGTGTCCCCTTGTGATCATCGGTGCTGACAAGGCGGGTAATGAAGGAAAATTCAAGGGTGGAACGGAGTGGTTAATTGACTATTTTGGTCTTTCAATGGATGCAGACGAGATCCTGGGAAGTATGGACTTCCTCACGGGCAGAGTTGCTACGCGTCTGGAGCTGCGCTGGATATCACTGGCTACTGTCGCCATCGTGAGGCAGTTGAAAGGGACCCTTTCTCCTGAACAGGTAAATCCGACACCGAACATCGTTCTTTCCAACGCATCTATTCTGCAAATAAAATATGAGCAGCAATAGGTTTATTTTTTTGTGTTGGCCAAAATGGACTTCGAGGTTTTAGGAGAGGTGGCATTAAGTTTTTATCCCAACCATTTTACCTCATTTACCTAAAACGCTTGCATCCTATCTATATATATAATTCTACGTTACGCAATGTGCTCTTTGGATTTTGTGTTCCGATTTTTCGCCGACATGTTTCTGTGCGAGTCCATGTTCTAGCAAAATCGTCCTATTCTTGCATTCGAGCTTTGGCTCAAGTGGTCCTACTTCGATTGAGGTAGAGCAGACTCATTTTGGACATCTAGTATTACTATATATTCTGCTTATCTAGACGGACGCTGTGTCCATTCCTCTAATCGAAAAGTTAGTCGTCCCCGCCTTCAATTTGCTCAGGTAAGTTCACATATTCCCTTTCAGTGCACTCCTTAAAAGTGATGATTTCTGCTTGTGTAATCCTCACTATGAAGCATTGTGGGCTATCTTCCTGTCCATTGCATGCCCGTATTGTGTTTGATTTAATCGTATCCCTCGGTTTATCCTTAAGCCCATTACTATAAGTGGCAATTTTCGTCGAGTACCGCAAAACTTATCACGACGGTAATTGCCTCTTAGCACTCTATTTTAAAATACTTCATCTTCTGAATTGCCAGGACTTTGAACAAGCTTTGGCAGCCAAAGACAGCACAACTCTGCCACCCTTCAATGCGATCGGTGCTGGAGGTGACGCATGCTGAAATGGCTCTGCTAGCTAACATAAAGTTGAAAAACCCCTCCAGGAATTCTGATCCAGAGGTAAATTTTCATATGAATGGCTAGTCTTGCTCATTGGGGTATGTGGCAACTACTAGCAACGGTATCAGCTTGTCGCTTAGACTGAATTGCATCACTTTCGTAGTATTATCCCTTGTTTTATTCGTAATGTTTAACATTGTCGTTTTAAACATAGACGTCTTCCTAGTAGTAGTTGAGGTTCGAAATACTGATAACTTGACTTTTACCTAGAGCCTTGTGACAGTTGAGCACCGTGAGATATCAGAGGACTACGTGCCAAAATTACAATCCTTTCTAACGCAACTTTACGAATCGACTATCCATATATGCAATTTCATGGTAGCAATCACGGCGAGCCGTTTCTACGCTCTACCCACTGATCAACTGAGCCATCTGCTCTACAACTATATGTGCCCCAGTATTGACTCCTTGCCTGACTTTCGACTGCTTCAGCTACTTCGTGAGTCTTTTCCTACATTCCACTTATTGAGAGCTTTGAAAACGAGTTTCCAGTCATTTAAAGTAGGACTATTTGATTTTTTTTCCTCGAACCATCATTTTTGTGAAGGCATTTTTGCAGTTGTACTTTTCGTGATCATTACACAAAGTTCTTTACTGGAGAAGAGGCTGAGATTGATTCCATCATTATACTTTACCTGATTTGCTGTGCCTGCACATGAAGTACAAGCCACGCAGCTCTGGTGGTTTCTTCTTTAATGATGCAACGGGAATCTTGTTCCATTGTGGTTTTTGCCAAATCATAAAATCCATGGTTAGGGCAGTGAGGTTGGGAGGTGTAGTCTTTATTATTGACTAACCGAAAAGCGCTCTAATCTGCCATTGTGTGACTCGTTGCCGGGGTGGTTTCCAAACCATTTTTTTGAGCATCCGGCCATACAAATCGTATATGTATCGCCAGACGCGTTTGCCATTGTGGTGGGATATGTCAAATTTCGTAAATTTCTCCGGTTACCTGAAGTGTGATCAAGCTTTACTCTAGGCAGATATGTGGTTAGATTTGAAGGCTGAACATGATGAATCATACTCTTCCGGATATTAAAGTATTCTCTTGAGACATTGTCCGTTGGATAAACAGAATTAACTCGAAATGATTCTCATTTGAAATGGGCATGATTACTAACATTGGGGCAACTTGCGGCCTTCGAATTAGAGTGCTTAGACATGAAAGTACTCCACACCGGGCGCATTCGCCTTTTGTCTCTCCCTGTGATATGAGTTAAAAAAGATTCATCCTCGAAGTTACCCCGTTGTAGATTCCCTGGAACATGGACAGGTGTACCATCTTCATCTTCCCTCCGTTTTTTCGGGAACTCTCACGAGTCTTCCGCCTTTGAGATGTTTTGTTAGGCACAGTGGGTGCAAGGTGAAACTCAGGTAACGCAAATTGGAAGAATTGAAGTGTGTACTCCCTGTTCACTCTCGAGGGGTTCTTCTCCTACTTCAGCACTACGATCGATTTGAAGTTTCTTCTCCGGTCTACAGGATACATATTAAGATCGCTTTCCTAATCCCACGCTTACGTTCTATTTATTGAACTGGTCACGAGTTTGGAAACAGCAATGGCTAATAACGCAGAAGTTCAGAAAAGAGAGAATCACCGTAAAGCCTGTTTTTTAACTATGTCTTGATGCCACAAACTTTGTCTTCCATTAGTCATTAAGACGGATAAAATCGTACATATTCAAGCATGGATAGTTGTGTCTAGTCTATCAGCACAGCAATTATCTTTGCACTTTGTACTCTTCACTTTGGCTCCTCATACGTCAAACATTGACCCATTGTGGCTGATATTCACATGAGATTAGCTCTTTTAGCAATCGAGGCAAGTGCGGTACCCAGTGGAATGAAATACTGAAAATTGTTTTTTTTTTGGCGAAGCACCTATTTATGCTATTAAAGGTAATTTAGAACTGGCGTATGACTGGTAACCGTTAGTAGCGTGGCAAATGAAACGGATTAACTCTATGGAGATCTCTTCCTATGCTGATGCTTTTTGAAGACGATTTCATTGGCTGTCCCCGAATGATCTTTTTATCATCCCACAACGTCTCCAAAGACACCTCTGCCTCGTAAGGCCATGCCTGAGTTGTGTGTGGTT